CATCTGTTCCGCTACTGCTAGTACGTAGAGCATTGCAAAAGTGGGTTGAGAAATAGAAAGGGAGGGATGCAACACGAGGAACTCCCAGAATGTCACCCATCCAGTTGGAGGAGCATTGGAGTTGTCTAAACTAATGTATCGGATCCTATTAGAACTCCACAGTTGAACGTGGTGGGATAAGAGCAGTACTGGGATGGGTGACCACACAAAAAAAGACTTACCAAACTAACGCAAAAAATATTAATGAAAATTTTTTTTGAGAAAGATCCGGTAAGTTTAGACAACTCCAATGCTCCTCCAACTGCTTTCTTTATTTCTCTACACTGTCCTGTGGTGCTGCTGTCCATCCAAATGGGTGATTCCTTGGTTGAAAAAGCATCCCTAAGCTGTTCAACTAATGGCTTCCTAGAGTCCAACGATGATAACATTGCAGAGGCACCATTCTTCCAGTAGACACTGCCATGCTGCTGTCCACTACCAGATACGGCAGCAATTTTTCCGAAATCAAGATTGGAGTTGGAGAGTTTTTGAAGAACAAGATCTAAAGCCTCAACCCACATCAAGGTGGGGGAGACAATTCTGCCACTAATGGAGGGGTCTCTATAAACTCCATCCTGTGTCTTATAACGAGGCAATTCAGAATGAAAATGACCTTACTTGCGAAGTAACAATGTTGAGATTGGAATCCAATACAGTTGCCTTCAAGGACCTTTGGAAGAAAACAAAATATCAAAGTTATCTACTAAACTACAAAAACCCAGTTGGAGACACTATATAGGATATGACAGGCGGAAGGGCCTAAAGTATCCAACTTTTTATGGGCTAAACAAAGGGAATACATTGAAACATGATAAAAGAAAGATCAGAAGAATGAAGATACTTAAAAATTTTTGAGTAATGAAAAAAGTTACCAACAAATAAAAAATTAATCAAAATAAACAACTTTTAATTAATTTTAATAAAACAATAAGTAACAATAACCACACCAAAAAAGACTTACTGAGTAGAGTTGTCGAATCCAGGGAACAGGGCATCATGAGGAAGAAATAAATCATCCACTAAAAGGGAACCCATTGAGATTGAAGTAGAAGACACAAGGTTGATGAATTAGGTGAAGGAGAATTGCTTTGTGCTTTCTGTATCTGCTGAGAATAAAATGCGAGTATAAATAAATAAATCAATACTCCCATTATTTAGGATAATTGGATAATTAGATTAAATAGATAGTCATAGATTACTGCGTCTCGTAAAAAAGAAACAATAAAACAAAAACAAAACAAAACAAAATGGAAGGACAGACAAGACTACGTATTTGACTATTTGATGTTGATTCATACACGATGAGGAAGGCGCGCGGAAACAGAAAGAAGTCATATCAGATCGCGTTGGCGCCACGTAGATGTTTATCTTCCCTTGCCTGGCGGAAAAAGATAGATTTAGAACATATTTTAGTGAAATTTGTAAGTGTTTTAATTTTTTGATATTATTTATATTTTATAAAATTAATTTTTTTAAAAAATTTATATTTTATAT